GGGTTGTCCCGGAACATCGATAAATCCCCCGCATGTAAACGACCAACTCGCTGCAGAACTCCTCTGGAGTTTGTAGGTGTCCAAAAAGAACCTCCTTCAGCCAAATCATGAATCAACTTAGCTGCCTTTGTGTTGCTTTTAAATACTCATTTGTGTTTATGCCTATAGTTATAAGTGTTACTGTATATACATGTGAAATTTCAATTTTAGAAGCCACATCTGTTTTGGCATGAAATCTCCAGAGGAGATGCGTCAGCAAGCTCACATTCAAGTGGTCAGCAAAAACTTGTATAGCCAGGACAACCATCACTCTCCGCTGCAGTATGGCGTACTTGACCATCGCATGGTGAGAACTGTTTTGTTTTCTGACCCTTTTCGTAGAATTACTTGAAGTGGTTAAAAATAAGTTGGGACAACTGAAATTTACTGCTCATCCCAAATACATGTGAATGTGACTCTACTTGAATTGCATAGACTGTCAGGTGCAGTGACAGCTATTTTCTTCATGCTTTTGGATGGTTCAGGAAAGCATTCTTTTGAGGCAGGAGGTAAGTTCTTTCTGCTTGGTTGTTGAGAGACCCAGAGACATCCCTCTGCAAAATAACATATTGTAGATTACCGGGCTGTAGATCGGTTGCAAAATCTGTATGAGTTCATGTCACCAGTATCAGTAGAGCCCGTATGTGAAAGACATTTTTCTTAAGGATTGCAGTGAGTGTAGTGCCTCTGACGCACTTCTGGTACTGGGAAAAAGGAGCAAGTGCTGTGGGTCTGCTGTCAGGATAGTTGACTATCTTAAGAATTGTTGTATTTTCTATGTATTCAGCTGATTATAGCAATTATTTTTTTCTTTGTGTATATTCCTCTTCTCCCAAAGGGAACTAGTGAAAAAGACCGTCCGTGTGAAACCTGTGGAAAAAATCTAGCTGATTGTTTAGGACATTATGGGTACATTGACTTAGAACTTCCATGTTTTCATGTCGGCTACTTCAAAGCTGTGATAGGCATCTTGCAGGTAAGCCCAATTGTAATTTGTTGTTAGTTTCTAGTCTAGAAAAAGGAAATTATCGGCAAAGATGGTGCTTGAAAGAGTAACTGAGGACGAAGATAAGGTTGTGTTATAAATTTTTTCTTTATGTATCTTGTGTTTTGTAAAATAAATGTATTTAAATACCAGTCATAGTGGTGTAAATGCATCTGTTGTATTTTAAGTAATCTCAGACTGATTGATTTAATCCTTTATTTTTCTGCAGTAATTTGAATTAAATTTATGCAGTATAACTTGCCTTTTAGCACATTCCAGTAAATCAAAGCTCTGTTTGCTTAACTCGGATCTTTAAGATCCTGCACAGCTCAGATGAACATTTGCCTCACTGACTGTATTTTTTTTCCCATGTACTCTTTTTTTGTCGGTTACAGCACACAAATTGATCTTTCAACCAAGGCCGTTGTATTTAATTAAAAAAAAAATGCATTCTGTTTAAGAGCTCAAGTTATAGTGGAAGAGGTTCCAGCTGTGAATGTGCCTGTTAAACAACTGTTTATGTGTGTTTACATTGAAGATGATCTGCAAAACCTGTTGCCATATCATGCTGTCGGTGGAAGAAAAAAAACAATTTTTGGATTACCTGAAGCGACCTGGCCTTACATATCTTCAGAAGAGAGGACTGAAAAAGAAAGTGTCTGAAAAGTGTCGAAAGAAAAACACTTGTCCTTACTGTGGTGCCTTTAATGGTGAGTGTTGACATTAGCAGTTAGTGATGGTTATCTACTGCATGGTTTTCACCTTGGCAGCTGTGATAGGCATCAACATCCTGAATATCCTTGTTTGTTCCACAGCTAATGAGTATTCTCTCTGGCCCTTATTAAGAATCTGATAATTGCATTCTTAATGCCAAGCACGTGCTTGTTCACATCTCATTTATGTGGATATAGATATTGTCCTAGTTGCTTGTTTTGTTTCATGTGATATCTCTTCATGGCAGTAACCACTATTTGATACTTAAATAACGGCAAAAAAACCCTTGTTTAACATGTTTTTTAAAATATTGTGAGCTATTGTCAGTAATCAATACCTTAATGTAGAAGCATTCTTAAACTTTGTAATTTTGATTGAACTTCATTTTTCATCACTGTATTAAATTATCTTTCTTAAGATTAGACGTGCTTGTCATCCTCCAGGAGGGTACGTTCTGCAGTTTGGCCGTATTTAAGCTGTGATGATCTTGGGTTACACTGGAGTTTGTTCTCCAGGGCAGAGGATCTTAATAAGGTTTCACATTTGTTTTTCAAAATACTTTTTTTTTTTTCTCCACCTACACTGATCGAGTGATACTGCTTGTGACTTGCAGTGTTACAGATTCATAGTGGATGGTGAATTCATAAATGAAACTATGTTTTTAACTCATGAAAATGGTGGGTGCGTTGTTGTAATGATTAATGGCCTGAATAAATAGAGAAGAGAGGTGCTTCGCTGTAAGTGTCATGTATACATATAGTGGGCCCAAGCAACAGATGTTTGCAAAATTAAGCGGTAGGTCAGCATACTTGAGTAAAAACAATTGAGTTTGGAAAGCACTTGTGCTAGTCTGTGAAAGTTTTGTGAATAATGTTACCTGAGTTACATGAAAATATTTCTCGGATTTTTCTGACCATTCACTCCCAGAATTCCTTTAGAAGATAATGGGATGATCTATAAGTGGCACTTCTTAGTCCGTTTTTAATGTGGGAACTTCTACTTTAAGAAAGTATCTGCTGTGATTGAGGTGAAGCTGAATTAAAGTGTGAGCTAAACCACCTGCTTTTTTTTGTTCAATGTTTTTATTTTTGTTTAAAAAAACAAAACCAAACCAAAACAACCCACATTTATTTGCTTGCAGGAACTGTGAAGAAGTGTGGTTTGTTGAAAATAATACATGAAAAATACAAGACCAATAAGAAAGTTGTAGATCCAGTAGTATCTACTTTTCTTCAGTCCTTTGAAACTGCCATAGAACATAACAAAGAAGTAGAACCCTTACTGGGAAGAGCTCAGGTGAATTTTATTATGACTTAAATTTTCTGCTAGTTTTTATATGTGAAATAAAACTCCTCAAAGCTTTTCAGAGTAGCATCTTAAGCTTTGCGGTAGCCGAAGATTTTCATATACAAAAGACACTTGAAGAAGTATGTATTGCAATAATACTAACTTTGCTGAAATGAGAAATTTAGTTTATTGGTATGTTCTGATACATAGCTTTCTGTCTGTAGAAGTAGTATAGGTCTATATAAACTTTGCATGTACTTGTAGAATTGCTATCACTCCAAGATGATTATGATACACAGATTTTTTTTTTCTTTCTTCAGAAGAACTTAATGTTGAGGAAGAGAGAAGACTTAATTATCTAACCTTTTGGCTTCATTGAGCTTTCCGTTGTGTGCAGTTTTGTTTCTTTCTGCTCTTTGCAAGCTAGGATGATCTCGGGGTACCTATTTGGAGAGAAAAAGTAGTGAATATCTGGAGTTTCTTATACTATAGCAGGAACTGTACTAAGGAGAGAGAAGTGAAGTTTTGAAAAATAGTCTAGAAAGTACTGTAATTCATGCAAGTTTCTACTAATAAAATGAATACTATGTTCTGTAAGTTCGTTTTAAGAGGTTTACTGAGTTGCTTTCTCAAATAATGATGAAGTTCTCTAAGTTAACTCTTTAGACAAGAGAGTAACATGATGAGAAGTAAACGCTGATGCATAAGGCAAAAAAGGAAGGAGAGAATATAGCAAGTTAGTATCTGAAACGCTAAGAACATTGATTCAGAATAAATAAACCAAAACATAGTTTTGTTTGCACGAATGGTTCTTCTCTATTTGTCACTTTAAAATATTTTATTTTTCAACAATCAGTAGATAGGGAAGGAGGGAAGTATTCAAAGTGTAACATGATGGCTTGTTCTCCCCATTCTCCAATGGATTTTGTAGGAAAACTTGAATCCTTTGATAGTATTGAACCTCTTTAAAAGAATTCCAGCAGAAGACATCCCTCTGCTTCTAATGAACCCAGAGGCCGGTAAACCTTCAGATTTGATCCTCAGACGACTCTTAGTGCCTCCACTGTGTATCAGACCCTCTGTCGTGAGTGACTTGAAGTCGGGCACCAACGAAGACGACTTGACAATGAAACTGACAGAGATAATCTTTCTCAACGATGTAATAAAAAAGGTGAGTCATCCTTCATGCTCTCAGAGACTGTTGCCTCCAAAAAGACTTGGATAGAATTGAATATAGCAAGTGGTTTTACTTGGCTTACTGCTTACAATCTAGCAAGCAGCCTGGACTGGACTACTATATTGTTTGGCGTTTTATTGAAAGAAATAAGAGAAATTTGCTTCAAATGGAGCTGGCTGACTGGCTGCTTGCAGTATAGGACGTGTTGAAGATTTGCTGGTGGATCATGGGACGTATTTTTTCATTTCACTTCTGGTCTATAAACTCTTCTGCTTCCTCTGCCTTTTCTTTTCTCCTCTTTCTTGCCTTTTCGCTTTCCCCCCCTCTTTCTTGCCTTTTTGCTTTCCCCCCCCTCTTTCTTGCCTTTTTGCTTTCCCCCCCCTCTTTCTTGCCTTTTTGCTT